CCCGCGAGCTGGGAACCTTCATGCGCCTGTGCCTCATGGACCAGCACTTCCCTGCCTTCGTGGAGGACGTGGAGAAGGAGCTGCACAGGCTGGCCAAGGAATGAGGCACACCTGGCACCCCACTCTGCTAATTAAAGGTTCAATAACAATGCCTACAGCGGTTTTTGTCGGTGTTTTATTTTTAAAAACAGGTGAATCCACTTTTTATACATCATTGCACTTCAACAAATACACAGAACACGAGTTCATGCAGCTACAGTTACGCACATCATGAGAACCCTGGTGGGTCTATTTCTACAATCTTTAAATCATGAGAAATTACAGTGTCAAACTAAAGAGGAATAACTAGTTGCATAGAATATCACCATGCTGTAACATTTCATCATTTAAACAAAACAAAAAAAAAAAAAAAGAAAATTATAAAAGTTTGCCTGAATTGAATGTACAAGAATATGTTGAACACATCAGTGCAAAAGGATTTGAGAATTTACATGAGTTAACAAAAAAAAAAAATCACTTAAAAAGCAATCATATATATATATTTATAAACTGAAGGTTTGTTTTTGTTTCCAACTGCATCCCACCACCACCAGCAGCCCCTGGCACCACCCAGCCCCGACGCCCAACAGGACACCCCGCGCTCCATGGTTAAAGCCCTTAAGGAAATTCCAATGTCCCTGCTGCGAGCACCGGCCCGGCATCACTCCCTCCTTCCAGCCATACAGTAAGGAATGAATATCAGCAGCTTCAAAATGAACCACAACGACTTCTGGTTTCCCCTCCCCCAAATATAAATATATACTGTATATATCTTTAAGTTTTGCTGTACTTTACAAAAGAAGTCTCACTAGATGGCAGCGGTGCGGTTTGAGCGGTGCCGAATTTAACAGCTACAGGAAGTAAAAAACAGCGCATGCGTGAACCCGCCTGGCTACTGCTCGTGTAAAGAGAGGAAAGGAGGAAAAAAAAGCAACATTCACAGCACATCAAGCCCAAAAGAGTTTACACCTTCTACACGGAAGCATTATTAAAATTCATCTGGCTAGGTCATCCTTGCAGGAGAGGCTAAATAAGGCATGCGTTAGACAGTCATATTGTTGCTCACTTGGAAAGGAAAGAAAAAAAAAAAAAAAGAAATCAGACAGAACTGGAGTTCTAGAACCAAGAGTTCCAACCCTTAAATTTAGCAGGTCATATTGCCATCAGTCTCTCAGAAACTTAAAGCTCTAAAAAAGAAACGAGAAAGAGGTGCTAGTCAATGGTGAACAGCGCGAGCCGCCGCAGCCTGCAACCCCCGCGCTCCCACCGGGGCTCCGCTTTTTATGGGAATCAATCAGGAGGGCTCGGCAGCCTTGCCCACACTTTAGCAAGCAGGGCCTTAAACCCCCCGCCTGTCTGAGGAAATCAATGTTTGGTGCCCACCCGTGGTCCCTGAGGTGCAGCAGGAATGTTTAATGTTTAATGTTTAATGCAGGGAAGGCTTTGCTGCTGCCCCCCAGCACTGAGGGCAGGAGGGCTGGGCCTGCCCGCTCCCGGCCGGGCGCAGGCAATACTTACATGATGAGCATTTTTAATTTGTGTTTCTCTGACGTAAGTTTTTGTCTTTGTGATTGTTTGTAGAATTGGTTTTCCTGCAGAAAGAGATGGGAGAGAAATGCAACAAAAATCAGTCACAGGTACAGGGAAAATGGATGTTATTTGTACTTCATTAGGCAGCGTTTCAGTCTTCCTTCAACACAGTTTTAGCCTTTGTATTTTAGCCCAATATTTGTTTTCTAGCAAGATGTTGCTTTTCTTTCCTCCAGTGCTAAGAAACGCACCAGAAGGCCCAACACCATCTGTAATGTCACATGCAATATCAATCCCATGATTTATCACCTCCCACAACCCCCCAGATTTTTTTTCCCAAAAACACACTTACATTGGCCCAGCTGGTTCATCATCTGCAGCAAGCATCCCGAGGCACCAGGGAGAGACAAGGGAAGGAAAGAAAAAGAGAGTCAGTGTTTGTAGGGGGCCACAACGAGCAGCAAAGTGATCTATCTACAGCATCAAAGGCCATTCCAGTCGGGAGTGCAAGGATCATGGAGTTACTGCTCTGGATTCGGGTTTAATGGCAGGTATGTTGCTTCAATGGGTTTAGTTAACACTTGGAATGCTGGTCATGAAGGACTGCAACTGTAGCGGACAGATTGGTGCAACATGATCAAGACTCATCTTGTCCCCAAGTTCCAGTGGTTCAATCTCATAAAAAATAGATGAGGAGACAAACCAACGGTTCAGTTGTAAAATCCTGCTGGATGTTTGCTTGCATTGACTTTTTTTAAATATTTATTTTAATTTTTAAGCTGTTTTTCCACTGCTGATGGGTAACTCCTGGTATATACCCCAGAGGGTACACACCCCACACTCATTTTTCCCCACAGATGAAACAACATCTACACTCCCCATTTTTCTCAATGTTTAATTAGAAGGGACCAGGTTAGGAGGAGGCTGAAGGGGAACACTCATTTCCAGCCCCAGCCATGGTCCTTGGGCAGCAGCATCCAGAGTCACCAGGAGGAGTCAGGGTGCTGGGACACCTCTGGACACCCTTCAGCTGCAGAGGACTGACAGCATGTCCTGCCCATGGCCCTTGGCAAAACTCATTTAGGAACAGGCAGGGGGCAGGGAATCTGCCAATGAGGAATGTTTCATATCAACTCTCACGACCAATTGGGCTTTGGTTTGGAATTCTCAAACACCATTTTCACCCACGCTGTAGTACAGAGGACAAAAATGCATTTACACAACAGTACAAGAGTCAATCCAGGAGCCTCATGCTCCCACAGATGGATTTTGGGGGGACCAATTCAGGCCCTGCTGGTTTTGGCACTTGACAGTTGCCGTTCCCACCTCGTGCCGGAGGGATTTTTCAGGGAAGTCTTTGAGAAACTCTCAGCAGGATTCCACAAGGGTGCTTAGTGCACATGAAGCAGTTATGGAAATTACAGTCTTACAGTGTAGGCATCCGCATGAGCACACGCCAGGAGTAATGTCAGGGAGAGGGGACATTACTCCACCTGGGCCCTCGAGGCAACAACGGAGAGGCAAAGCCACCGCTAGCACAAACAGTGACCAGAACAGAAAATACTTCAAAAATAAAGAACTAACCACAAACCAAGAGCTTTACAGCCAAAGTAACAGACTAGCGACACACCGGTGTCCACAGAATTCCAGTACCAGCAACAGTAACTATCGGACACGGTACAGAGAACTGGGACTAGGAAGGACAGCCAGACATCAATGTGCTGTTGTATATACAGTGAGATATACAGAGACACATCAGGTACTCGAACACAAAGCACAGCAGAGGAATCTATGGCTTCCTTCCACAAACATCTCTGGGAACCAAGGATCCGAGAGCAGCCCAGCTCCGGGGGGACAGCGAGCCCTGGCCCCGAGGCCAGCGCTGCCTCCGAGACCCAGCTCGGCTCCACCAAGCGCCATCCACTGCTTTGGGAGTTTGTTTGGCTGGACTTCAGCAATAGCAAACTGCACCGCGGACACTCGCTACAAAATAACCTTTATCCCTTCTCTGCTCAAAGATTTAAATGCCCGCTTCACATCAGCAAGTTTGTGTTGTCAAAAAAAAAAAAAAATGGGCAATGAAATGTTAGAAAAGGGGTGAGACCAGCCAAAGCCTTGCTTGTTTTTCCAAGAAAAAAAAAAAAAAAAAAAAAAATTTAAAAAGCAGCTTCAAATTGATAAAGGCTGCCATTGGTGATTCCTCACGAAGATCCCACAAAAAAGCCTACTGGGAATACTCTGGTGGATCCTCACGACTGCTCCCTGTCCCATCTCTAAGCTAAACCACAGATAAAAAGACCAAGGGAAATTCCCAGTCAGTCATTAAGTGCTGGCAAAGCATCCCCAGTACAGTACAGACACAGACCGAACCCTCAGCGAAACCAGGGGCAACAGAACAACAGAAAAACCAGTACAAAATCAGACTAAAGAAAAGGTTCAAAACAGCAAACTGAAATCCAAATTAGTTGTGAACGTGAATGAGGAAGTTTTCAAGAGTGTTAACGTCATGACTTGTGCGTTGTATAGACTGAAGCGGAGGTTAAACAAACTCCAAAGCATGCAGAGCTCTCACTTACCACCATTTTTTAAGGGTATGATGCAATTGAAGGGGGGAAAAAAAAAAAAAGAAGTCATAGTAACCGACAAGATCAATATCACCCAAAGCTTTAATGCCACAGCCCTGCTCTAGGACAGTCAGCAGCACAGAAAGGTCCCCCAGCACTGGGAGCAGCCACTGAGCCCCTCCTGCAGCACCTGCCCTGGCACTGGGATCGCCACAACCCCCCTGCTCAGAGCACAGCAATGACCCCTGTCACAGGCAGGCCTTTCCTCAGGCATGGGGTGACCTGCTCCATGGGCTCCCAAAACTGCACATTCTGAGCCAAAATGGGAGATGTGCTGCTTGGCTTAACACAGGTAATCAATCCCTGCAGGCAGAAATAGCTGGGACTTAAAACTGGAAGATGATGACAAGTAGATCTCCCTTAGCTCCTCCACTTGGATGGGAATGTGCTTTGTGCCCCCCCTCCGATTTTCAGCCTTAATTTACAGGCATTTTGTATGTCACTCAGATTCTTTCACCGCCTTTGGAAAGCTACAGGGTTTATTTTTAGTATCAAATTAATCCTGGGTAGCATCTTGTGACTGGAGAAGTTAAAAATGAAACACTAGAGGCTTCTTCCAGCACTAAGATTCCAATTTTTGCTTCTGAAGGGATTCTACATCTCAGCTCATGCTTTAAAACCTGGAAAGAATCAATCCCAGCCTGGTTTGGGTTGGAAAGGACCTTAAAGCCCATCCAGTGCCACCCCCTGCCATGGGCAGGGACACTTTCCACTGTCCCAGGATGCTCCAAGCCCTGTCCAGCCTGGCCTTGGGCACTGCCAGGGATCCAGGAACAGCTCAAAGCTCTGAAGGAGCAACCAGAGCCTGTAACAACTCAGGGTCCTGTGTCCATTCCCACTGGGACACAGCAATGCTGCTGGGAACAGCTGATGGATATGGCCTCACTCTGTACCTGCCTCACCACGACAAATTTAAAGTGTAGGAGAGAAAGATGTGCATAAAGGGAAAAAAAGCCCCACCAAAACCATTGGTTACAAAAGGTAAATGGTTGCAGTTAGAACAGTTTGTTTCTTTCAATTACTTACAGTAATAGCAGGAACAGGGAAAGTCAAGAAAAAAGCAAAAGAGGGTTAGAAAGAATGTGGGGATTGGGATGGAGCTTCTGCAGAGCCAGGAGAGGAAACACATTTAGGGGAAGTCTTTGGATTAGGCTGAGGAATGAGAGGGGAAGAAGGAAAAGGGAGGTGTTATAACCCAGTCACCCCAGGGCTATGGATTTCCAAGTACAAACCACTCCCATTCCTACGGGGAATGGAGCCAAGGGGTTTTACCTTCTACTTACCCCAGAAAACCCTTTAAGCCAGGGGCTGTGCTGATTTTAGACTACTGGATGCAACAACAGCAGAAAACCCTTCCTTTAGGAGCTCTGCTAGGCCACCCTCAGCTGGTGCTGGCTGAGCCAAGGAAACCCGGCAGCTCAGGCTGCACTACCGAGACAAAGCCATTCCCCTCTCTCCCTGCCCAGGGCAGCACCCTGGCATTCCCTGCTGGCACCTCCTCCCCTGGGCATGCAGCCACGTGCCAGGGCATGCCAGCTCATGCAGCTCTGACCCCCAAAGCCATGG